TTTTGAGTTACAATGCTGATAACAATGGTTTTTATATATTTTGAGGTACAAAAATGGTGTATATATATTTTGGATTACAATGGTATACAATGCATTACCGCGGTTTATGAATTACAGGTTATGGCAACTGGTTTATACAAATAATATGCTGCAAACAATGCAGGTATATGAATTATATAAATTATACCTCTAAAAAAAATACCTTATGAAAGCGCTTTTTCAAGAAAAACGCTGCCTTAGGTAACCTATGAAAGCGCTTTTTCACAAAAAGCGCTGTCTAAGGTAAACATATGACAGCGCTTTTCCAGGAAAAAGCGCTGCTAAAAGACCACCTATAAAAACGCTTTTCCAGAAAAAAGCGTTGCTAAAAGCCTACCTAAGACAGCGCTTTTCCAGAAAAAAGCGCTGCTAAAAGAAAACTTTTGAGAGCGCTTTTCCAGAAAAAAGCGCTGCCTTAGGTAGACCTATGAGAGCGCTTTTCCAGAAAAAGCGCTGCCAAAAGCCTACTTAAGAGAGCGCTTTTTAGAAAAAGCGCTGCCAAAAGCCTACTTAAGAGAGCGCTTTTTAGAAAAAGCGCTGCCAAAAGCCTACTTAAGAGAGCGCTTTTTAGAAAAAGCGTTGCCTTAGGTAGGCCTACGAAAGCGCTGCTAAAACCTATAGCAGCGCCACCTTAGAAAGCGCTTTTAAAGGCCAAAAAAAGTGTTTTCGTAGGTCTTTTTGGCGTAGTGCAAGATATAAATCTAGCATTTTTTATATTTTATGATTTTTAATATTAGTGAAAAAATAATTAAGAAAAAAATAAATAAAATAAAAAATAAGAAAATAAAATAAATTGGGCCAGAGATGCATAAGCAGGCAGGGAGGTTAGCTTGTAAAAAAAAAGCAAAAAGCCCAAAGGCCCAGGCGCCTTGCAAAAAAGGTCAGAAAATGCAAAAACATGTAAAAACACAAAATGGATACCACTGGGGCTCGAACCCAGGTCCCAAAGGTTAACAGGCACGCGCTTTACCACTGGGGTGGCTATACATCCGTTCATATAAACAAAACAATAAATATGTAAGGCAAATCAAGTCCTGATGACTTCATCTTCAACCTCCAGCCAGTGTACCTGCAACTTCTTCATTTCTCAACAAAAATGGAAGATGACAAAATGAAAGTTGTTGCATTCTTTCTCACGAATCTAACCATGTAAATAATTAAAGCTAAAAGTCAAAGATAAATGAGAATTTCTCTGGCCCTAATTAGAATCCTAAAAAATTCAAAAACTTCAACTCTAAAATTCTCCAAGCTCAGGCCATGTAAATGCAAACTATGGATCTGTACAGCTTCGTGGCAATGAGGTCTACATCTTTCCCTCACAAAATAAACATTAATGATGCTTAAAGGATGAGATAGAAGTTCAAGTTAAATACCTCAAAACTGGAAATCATGAAATGCAAATGAGCTTGATTCAAAGTGCTGCAAGGATCAGGTTAGCTTCCTTGAGGTCCCAGGAAGCTAATGCAATGGTTAGCTTGAGCTGAAAGTGGCTGAGGAGCTCTGGAGAAGTAAAGTTGCAGACCCCTATTTTTGAAAATGAAACTTGATTATGGAGGTGTTACAGTTGAGCAAATGGACTTTGAATGGTTTGTATTTGATGTTTAGAAGCTTTTGGAAGTGAAAGGCCAAAGAACACACGGGGGGATTTGAAGTTTGGTATGTAAAGTCAGAACTTGCACAACAATGGTGTTTTGAGACAATTTATGGCTAGAGGGAGTTTGAGTGAGTTTTAGGGTCTTCAAGCTCGTGTCTTAGCTCATAAATAGTGCTTCTATTTATAAGCAACAAGTTTGGAGACTTGTTGTTGATCAGAATTTGAAATTACATGTTTATGCATAACATGTGATTTTTGAGAAAACAAGTTTCAATGCCTTGTGTACTTGCTAAGATAGAGTGGTTATGCTTTAAATACACTTGCTTCTGACTTTGTAGATAAAATGTGATTAGAGGGAACAAGTTAGAGGCTCAAGAGTGGACTTTATGCATAAAGCTTACTTTTCAAGAATGGTATTGTTAACTTTCTTCCCAAAATGGCAATGTGAATTGGATAAAGCTTAAATCACTAGGATTATAGCTCAAAAGTTTGTGTAATCTATAATTATGGAATGAAAAACAAGTTCTAGGCCCGCAAAGCAAATATTATGCAGCCTAACATTGATTTGGTTCATGTGTTCATCCAAAAAGACTTATAATTCAAGTGACAAAACCCTAATTTCATCTCTTCGATTCTCCCTACTCAAGAATGATCTCAAGGTGATCTTGGACATTTTGGAAAGCTTGAAATGTGATATACAACCCATATTTGAATTTATTTTTAAGACTCCACTTGGAAATATGTGAAAAAGTGCCATGAAGTAAGGTCAAAATCCTGACCAAATTAGGGCAAAATTTCACTAAGTGTTTTAATTTCATGACCCTATGTTCTTGAAATTATAACTTGAGATCCAAGCACTTTTGGAAGAAGTTATGTGAATAAAAGTTGTAGACTTCATGGAGATCTACAACTTTCATGTTGGAAGTTTCTCTTGAATCATCTTGTATCAGGGTGAAAATTTGGCTTAAAGTTATGAAAAAATAAGAAAATTTTCATACTTAGAAAAATTTCTAAGTTAAGAAATTTTAACATTTCAAGATGAAATCTTGAATTCTTGAATTCTTGATGAAAAAGTTTCATATTTTGGCATGTTTTGATGAATCATGATCTTTGGCACTTGAATTTGACCAAAAAGTCAAAGTTTGACTTTTCAGTATATAGTTGACTTTTGATCAGTTGACTGCAAAATCCATCTGTCAATCCAATGGACTTGCAATATTTTGAACCATGTCATTAGGTCAAAATGGTTAAATTGGACTCTTGGGATCATGCCTTAAACCAATTGATCATTTTCTAGGTCAAAAACCAGAAATTGCCCTTTCTCAGTCAAAACCCTAATTTTGACCATTTTGCCCTTTTGATGATTTGATAAAATTTCTTGAGGAATTATGGTCTAAACTTGATCAAATGATACATATGAGTCTAAGATGTTGATATGGATCAAAATTTATGAAGTTTGACGGTAAATTGGTCATGGTTTACTTTTTCCCCAATACAATTGATTTTTAGGTCAACTAATCAAAAGTGTAATCCAAGGCTTGAATCTTGACATGAGTAATCTTGGGGGTCCACAATGGTCTATGAAAGTAATATGAAGCATTGATAATTCAAAAATCCTTGTGCAAACTCAAACCCTAATTTTGGCCATCAGTGCCTAAGGAGGTGTCTTGAGCTGATCAAACCCTAGTGCAGTCTTGAGCCCCAAGGAGATCTTGTGAGCAAATTCTTGATAAGTGAGAGGGAAAATTTTGGGGTACAACACAGTGTGTCGAAAAGATTTGATTTGTTTTATATTTAAATAGATTTGACTTAAGTCTAGAATAGATTATATTTGATTTCGTAACAAAATAGATATTTTGGGCTTTGGGCTTAGGGTGTAAGCTCAGTTATAAATAGAGGGAGTAACCCCTATTTTTTATAAGCAAGTCAATCAAGTCATTCATAGTATTTTGCAGTTGCAAAGTGAATAATAAAATTTTCACAGTTTGTGAGCAGAGAGAAACTCTGCAGAAATAATTTATCTTGTCTTCTTTTGTTGTTTGTCTCATAACTAAATTTTCATTGTGGTAGAAATTCATCATAGACTTTGGTGAATTTCCAACAGTTACAAATATATGTTAATAATATGCACAAATTTTTAAGCATTGATTTGTACTTATAATAAATCATACAGTCAATTCTCTAACTTCAATTATATAAAATAACAACAAAAGAAAAATTTAAAAGATGGACATTGAACAGTTTACAGCTGATATCTCATCGATACGTTCACATCTACCCGTAGATTTATGTCTGCAAGGAGCTTCATTCCAATGAACAATCTATAGCTTTAAATTGAAAAATAAAATAAAATATAAAAGAAATCTTAGATTAATATACTTGACCAAGAGAATTTTAAATTTTTTATATCATTTTTATCAATACAAAATATTATTTTTATTTAAAATAAATGAGCATAATCATCTAATATAACTAACCGTTCTTCAAAATATATAATTATTGCAAAAAAAAATTATCTTTTAGACTACATTAATTTTCTCAAGATTATAAGTGTAACCTTTCAAAAACTATACGCAATATATTTCAAAAATGGTAGAAAGTTTTATTTGTTAAATTATAATTCAATTCAAAATAAATTAGAATTCAAGTTTTATTGATTATAAATTTATGTAATTAAATCATGCATAAAAATAAAATATATTAATATCACCATTCAAAATAATTTTCATATATAATTGATATTAATGCCTCCATTTAAAACATATATTTGTAAAGTTTAGATTTAAATTTTTTTCATATCTTTATATATTCTAATGTTTATAATATTTATAATATGAAACAATATCAAATCTATACTATTAAAATAAAATTCCAATTTTATTGATCATAATATTTTATGAAATCAAATCATGCATAAAAAAGAATATATTCATGTCACCATACAAAATAATTTCCATATAAGTATAATAAAAATAATTGATATTAATGCCTCTATTTAAAAGATATATTTGTAAATTTTTGATTTAAATCGTACTCAAATATTTGATAAAAATTTGTAATATTTATTTCTAATATTTGATAAAATAATATTAATTGATCATACTATAAAAAAATTAAACAAAATTAAATCGTAGATACTTCATAAATAATTGTAATGATTGTTTCTAAAATTATAACAATTAAAAATAAAAAGTATTTGAATACAAAATACTACATTCAGTGTTTAATTCACCAGAATGTACTGTTATATTATTACTAATCACTCCCAGCTTCCAATACTAATCATCTTTCCATATTTTCTTCTTTAAGTTCCAAGATATCCCAAACTCTCTAGGACTTAACACTCCCTTTACTTTTGATTGTCCACTTAAATGAAGACAGTAAAAGACATAAAAGTTAGTTGAGACTCTTGTTGCATGAAGACATCCATTACCATGTAAGTGAAGTTCAAGAAAGAATCCTGAATCAAAAGAATATAACAATCAATTTTTACATGACTTTTAATTCTAATAAGTTCCAATATATCCAAATGATATCAAAAAGTTGATGATTCATCATTTTAATAAGATTCTATTTATAGAGACTAAATGTATTGAGGTTGAAATATTTCTGATCTAGATTTTGATCAGATTCTATTTATTTTAGGTAATACTTGAAAGGAGAAAAAAGATATATAAACTGAGTAGTATCAGATATATTTTTCTTATTGATTTTCAGCTTTGTCAAAAATTATTTTCTTGTATTTTTTCAAGTTGCATCATGAGCATACATGTCTTGAACGAAACACAATAGAGAATCAAGTGATTATCCTTCTTCAAGCTCAAAAGCTTTTCCCAAAGCCTACAATATATAGGTATAAGAAAAACAGTAATTATAAAAAATACATTTGGCACCATTAATTGAATCAATCATTTATGTAGGATGGAAGAAAAAAGGAACATAAAAGACACCATGTTATATATATATGTTGCACCTCTACAGAAGTCTACTTGTCAATGGCATCCACTAAAACATAGAAATATAAGACAATAAAAAAATATTAAATTCAGAACAGAAGTCAGAAACAAACAAATCAGTAAATAAGACTATGTTTGCATTGATTCATGAACAATTTCTTTGGATTTATCTGTTGAGATAAGCACTTATCATATACAATCATGTTTGCAGTCAGCAAATTATAACATGACGTTGAATATCATAAATTATAGAAAGGCAAGTTCATCATGAGAAAATACTATATCATTATTCAAAAGAGTAATTTTTAGATTTAACCTCAATAGTGTTCGGTTTCTTAGATTGAGGAGGAGGCAATGTCTCACATTTAACTTCATCGATGGAATAAAACGTTCAAATCTATAATAACTCTTCTCTCCAAAACCATACTTTACTGGTGTTGTATTCTTTGTCTGAGTGTATGCATTATAAACATCGATGAGAAGCTATATATAAATATGAAAAAATAGCTTCTAGTGTCTTTGGATGTCAACATCTGCAAGTGTCGAAAACAAAAATAAAACATCACTACTATGTAATGTTAAATCCACATTTAAATTATCAATAATGAGAAAATAACAGGAGAAACAATGTTTCAAGAAGAACAAATTTGATGTTATCACGTAAACAAAGGATTGGAAAGATAGAAGCAGAAAACGGTTTGAAATCTCCATTTGTTGTGCTAAACACCTTTTTTGTATTCCTGTAACAAATTTTTTTTGAAAATTAAAACATGAACTCCCGACAATCAACTTAACTCAATTTCATAACTTTCAAACTCTTTTGATCCATAAACAATTCAAATCACAAAACCAAAAAGAAACAGATCTACACTATATCTTCCAGATCTATACAAATAGAGAAGACAAATTTAAAATGAACCAAGAACATTATCAGTCGTAGATCGGATAAAGAAAAGGAAGAGGAATGAAGAAGTTGTTCTCAGATCCACTGCTCAACCAATCTTCGACCGCCACTCAGATCCGATGTTTTAGCTGACAACCACCAAAGAATTCGCGGCTAGCCACCAGCGCTTCCCTGTAGATGATACGAAATCGGCAGAAACCGGCCATTCAATAGATGATACGATTACCACTTGCAATCAAAAAATTAAAATATAAACCAAATTGGTATATATGAGAAACGTAAATTATGATAGAAACTTACATGATATGGTGCGAAAAATCTGAGCTTGGAAGACTGAAAAGTTTAGAGTTTAACATGTTACAGAAGCTTATTTGTATGGTTTACAGGAAAGTAAATAGGAAACGACAATCGAAAAATAACAAATATGTGCTACATATTTGTTATGGATTTGAATGGAAAATTATAGGTTTTAAGATGAGAGGTTTTTGAACGAAAAGGAAAACATAACGATACAATATGGAAATTTATGTAATTTGTTATTTTAAAACAGACTTTTCTAAACCCAATGTATTGTAACAGCTATGCACACTTAATGAATGAATCGGTTCCAATAACCAACAATTATGGATAATTTTTTTAGGGTTAATTAGTGATTAAAAAAATCAAAAATATTGTGAAAATCTATTGTGATGACACATCAACAACATTAAATGTCAAAACAATGTGGTTGTAGGAGTAGTTCAAAAAACCTATTTTACCCTTACATTAGTGAAATTAAAGATTTTAATCAAAAGGTTAGTAGTGTCTTTACCAGGTACTTTAAAGTTTATATATTTATATATTAGATATGTCATAGAAATTAATGAGTTATAATGAAGGTAGATGTTTTTAGAGTAAAAAAAAAATAATAATAACAACTTCATTTTATAAAAAATATTATTTGATGAATATTAAATATATATATATATATATATATATATATATATATATATATATATATATATATATATATATATATATATATATATATATATATATATATATATATATATATATATATATATATATATCATAATAATTAACTTCTAAACAATTCATAACATTGGTCTCATCACTTATTAAAATCAGTTTAAACAATCAAAACCGACATAGAGTATGCCAACATCAAAACAAAATATATCATCCATAAAATAGAGTATTCCCAACTCGATATTACATATTAGAGGAAGGAATCGAGTAAAATATATAAGTTGCACAAAGCGCTCTATGACCTCAATCAGGCGGTACGACGCGTAAATCCCCAAAGGCCGGGTTGCAACCATGTCTACTTGCCAAAAAGTTGCATACATAACATTATCCGCCTTCGAGCATTTTTCTTTCGAAGATACCTCGTCAGGTATGAGCATGTGTAACATCCCGATATTTAATTATTTATTTAATTGAATATTGTTTTGAATATTTTATATTAATTGAATTTTATCGTCAAGTCGGAATTATTTTATTAAGTTGGAATATTAAATAATCGAATTTAATTTGGTGGAATTAAGTTGAGGTATTATTGTTATTATTAAGCTTAAAAATGATAATTAGCTTATGTTATGGCGTCAAGAAGTAAAAGCGGGGTGTAGCATTTAGGCCCAATTGGATTTATTGGTTCTAATAGAATAATATATATTATTATTAGAAAATAAGAGAGGAAAAGAGGATAGTGTATCGGGAAAAGAAGAGAAAGAAGAAATAGGGTTTTGTGAGAAGAGAAGAGGAACAAGAAGGCTGCTGCTAGGGCCAATCTCAGGAATTCCATTGAAGCTTCCTTGAGTTGTCATCAAACCAAACCAGGTAAGGATGGAGTTTCTTATCCTATAATGGGGCTTATGAGAAATTGTATATGGGAATTTAGGGTGTAAATTTATTATTGATTGTGTTTGTTTGTGGAAATTGATGTTAGGAAATAATCAGTGTTGAGTATTGGTAAAAATTCATGTTTCTGTGTTATACGTCGGTCTGTGAATCGAATGAAATTGGATAACTAACAGGAAGTTGCAGAAAATTATATGTATCTTGGGCATGCCGATCGGCAGGCTATGGATAAGTGGGAGTTGAGATGTTGTTGGCTGCCGAGCGGCAGGTTATCGTTGCTGGGTGTTGTCGAACGATAGAGGATACTGCCGAATGGGTGCTGCCGACCGGCAGGTGGTGGATGGAAGTGGTGTGTGCTGGTGCCAAACGGCACACCCTTGTGTTGAGGGGCACAACTTCCTTTCCCCATATTTGTTTTATGTAGTATACTTTCTTAGTAGAGTTTTTCCTGATGAAACAAAAGACTAGTAATTTTAGCAGAAGGATATTAACAGAGTAGCATACTTTTGTAGAGTTGTTTTATGTGATAGAGGATAATAGCAGGAATAATAATAAGTAGTAAATTTAAATGAACCGTTGAATAAAGTAGCAGAGGTAATAATTAGTATAATTATGTTAGTAGTAGACGTGGAAATTAAAATAGCAGTGATGGTTTTAGTTGTAGAGTTGGTAATAAATAATTTAACAGAGTAGTATATTAGTGGCAGATGTAATAATTTAGCAGAGAGTTATCGGTAGAAGTTATAGATTTTAGCGGTAAAAGTAGTTAACCGAAATTAGTTAAAATTGTCGGAATAAGTCGTATATACATATAGGTATTTTTTTAGTCGATTAGTTTTGGTTAGAATTATGTAGAATAAAGTTGATTTGCAGGTGAAGTTGAAATAAGTTGAATGGTTCCAGTTTATGGAATTGTATTGTTGGTTATTATTGTGAATAAGTCGTTGTCGAATACATTGTTGTTGTTGAATATGTTGTCATTTATATGTTTTGATTGATAAGTTGATTAAGTTGTAGGCTTATGCCAATGTTATTGAATCCATTGTTGTTGTTGAATATGTTGTGATTAATAAGTTGATTAAGTTGCAGGCTTATGCCAACGTTGTCAAATATATTATCGTTGTTTTATGTGATTATTGCATTCATTAAGTCACATACATTTGCATTATTAAGTTGGCCTGGATTGGCAAAATATTAAGTTGAAGGCTTATGCCTTATGCCTCAAGATTACTGGCAAATGTTTTTAAGTTTGGAGTTTTTCTCCAATGGTACCACATGCATGTGCATTGTATTTGAGTTGCATTTGATGTTGCATCTTGATTTATGGTGAAGATAGATTTGTGGTTGCTTTATGTTGTTGACTTATTGTAACAGGTATCATTTAAAGGTTCTGAATTAGTCGTTATGTCGTGTTGATGTTTTGTTGAAATTAAGGATATTTGAAAGTTGTGAAGTGGTGATTTTTGCATGACTTGGTTCTAATATATGATTTATCATGCACTCACTTATATGATTTTAGAATCTCACCCCTTACTGTTTGAATGTTGCCCTCTGTTGGTAACATGCAGGTATGAAAGAATGAAGTTTTACTTAGCCTTATTAGTTCAAAGTCGGTTGGTCGCTCTGATACGTAGCACTCGGGGGGAAATGATTGAATAGTTGTTTACTTGTTAAAATTGTTTTAGTTGTTGAATCCTAAGTTTAATTATATGAAATGATATGTTGCCTCTCAAGTTGTTTTAGTTGAATGAAACTTATGATGCTACTTGAAGTTGTAATTATGATTTTGCTGCGTTATTAATAAAAGAAGTGGTTTTGTTTTAAAAGTTGATGCAAGTTATTATATGATCCTCCGAAAACTAAAGTGTTATGTATCTGTTTATGTGTTACAACATGTTGAATTGTGATATCCCAAATGTGTTGAAAATTTTTAATTACTCTGATTTTTCGTTATAACTATCGGGTAGAATTTGGGGTGTTACAATAGTGGTATCAGAGCAGGTCGGTCCGTCCGACCAAGTTGTCTAATGTCGTTTATTCCTTAGTGCGCGACAAGTGTGTGAAACACTGTCGGTGCTTGTTGTTTTTCTAATTGAGTTGTATGCAGGAAGTTGGTTGAAGATAAGTGGGGGAGAAGCTTTGCTTCTCGGATATGTTCAATTTAAAGGTGTTGGTTCAGTGTGCTGCCGATGATGACAATGCAAGAATTGTTGATTTATGAAGCAAGTGTAAGATGTCAATGTTTGAACAATGATTGAGTAATAAAGTTGCGGTAACTTTTATGTTGGGATCACATAAGTGGTTGTCGGAAGTAGTTAACGTTGATAAGTAGTTGTGGATCGCGACTGTGAGTCGAAACTTAAAGAAGTGAGTAGCGTTGCGGAAAGAATTGTTGTCCTGGTGTTTTCAAACCTGAACTTTGGAAAAGGAATGCATCTCTCGAGTTATAAGAAGTTTCGGAGCACGAGATATGTTAAGATTTTTTTGGAATATGTCTAGGTTGAAGACAAATGAGTTTCGAAGTGGAATTTCCGTAAGCGAATCGCAGGAAACTGCAGAATAGTTGTGGGACTTCGAAAATTCATAACTAGAGTTTCGGGTATCCGATTTGAGTTCCATTTGAAGCGTTGGAAAGCTAAAGAAATTATATTCATTTTAAAAATTGTTCCAGTAGCTGTAATAGATTCATTTATCATGTGAAGATATTGGAAGTGAGTGCAGTTTGTTGTTAAGATTGTCTTTGGGACTAGATTTGTTCTTCAGTGTTGTACGGGACGTCAGTGTCCGAGTTGGGTGAATCAAATGAGCAATTGGAAGATTTATTTAAAGTAAATTGTGAAATAAAAGGTATCATTTGTGAAGCTTTGGTGTTATTAATTAGAACTAAAGATGATAGTGCAAAGTTGTGTGGAATTTACGGTGTCGAAAAGGAGGAAGATTTATGCTAAGTTGTCAGGATGTATGTTATAGTTTTGGAAGAAGAGTTCTCTTGAGTAATTTTATTTCCAAGTGAAAGTGTATGTAGATCCATTCAAGGTGGATGCAGTTCTAAGTTGGAGAACGACGAAGTCTGTTATAGAGGTTAGTAGCTTGTTGAGCTTGGATGATTACTATCATAGATGTTTGAGGTATAGAAATATATGAAATGTTGTTAGATGAAATGATATTGTTGAGAGTATGATTACAAAGAAAGGGAAATTGTGGGAGTATTTGTAAACCTTATTGGAAATGATTGGATTATGCTGCTTTAGGTGACTTGAGTGCAAGTTCTAAAGGAACACTACTATAGTTAGTAACGATAGTTTATACTCCATTATGATTGTCGGCTATCTATTGACAAATTGAGGAACTAATCACCCTTAATCTCTTATTGATAGTAGACGAGACCATGTCGGATGGTATAAATTTGATGTGATATCTTAATGGTGTGTAAAGTGATAGATGTTATATCGTGAGGATAGTTGCTCACCAGGTTGTGTGAAGTAACAGAGGAATT